CATCTTAAATCATTAGATAAAGCTGAATTAACTTTTGTTGTCAGGATCGATATGATATGACACGAAAAAGAGGTTAATGTTGAATGAAGATTAAATTTTGAAGAAAGCATAAGTAACTAAATAGTCTGAATCAAGTTCTCTAATGAGACTAAACCCAATTTTACAGACCAAGCAGTGAAACCTAACTGTTTAGCAAAGCATATAGGAGGTTTGTTTCAGCCACGCATCTAGTGACTGAACAAAGTGTCCAGTTAATGAAATATATACATATATATTATATATAGCCAACATACTTTACTGCCTTATATCTTCTCGTTGCATTTCATAGTATACTCCGTCTGGAAGCAAAAGTAGCTGGTTATTCATTGGATACTGAATACATCTATTTCAAGATGTGAGGGCAAGATATTTTGAAGTCATTGAACTGACAATCCAGTGGCGTTATCAATTACTTTCAAAGTTATAATTTGTTGTGCTAAGTGGTTCACTTTGTAGCAAATTACTGTTTCCTCCAATAAAGGCATCTAGGATCTTTTCAGCTGAACAAACAGATCTATGAGACAGCTGAAGGCTTAAAAGAAATCTTGAATCATAATAGGATACAAATTAGTCCATAAACTGTAATAAATATTTTATCCGACCGTCCGATTTCCATTTATCGTTGTATGCACCTTTCGGCTTAAAGATTGTATATCATTACAGAGAAAGGCATTGCAGACTACGAGCTGTTGTCGTCTATTTGTTGAGGAGGATTATTTGAATACAGTTTTGTTACGCTGAGGACTGATTACTGCATTCAACCAATCTTTTTAGTGGAATCACCTTAGTGCGTCGGTGGCACAGTGGTTAGGACTCTCGCCGATCATGCACATGGTCCGGAGTTCAATCTCCTGCCTACGCACACCCGATATCTATGGTTGGCTTGCTAAATTTGGGCTACCGATATCCATGCTGAAAATTCCATACTTGTACTGAAATACTGTGTGGCATCAAGCTATAATAAATAAAAAAAAAAGATAACCTTGGATGGACATTTATAAATCATTTATTCACAGACATGACTATTAAGGTGAAAATGTAGCTATGGTCTCAGGTGCTGTTTAGTCAATAGAGTGTTGAGTCTGTAACGCATAGGTCATTTCCGTCACTATCCCATATTTTTGTTTCAATGTCAGTCATAATTGCAATAGTTTGATTGTGATATTCGATTCGACTTTTGTTGGTAATAAATTAAAGCATCCACCTTCTTGAGTTCAGCAATATCTAAATGAATAAAATTGGTTTCGTTCAGTTGTTTCTTCAAAAATTTCAGTCTGGATTTCATCTTTGACAGTCGGCACTTTTTATGTGAAAAGAACTGCTTATTGTTTTAGCTTTTATTTTCCTGTTGTTGTTGGAAGGTCAAACGTAATAAAATGTTTAATGAAGTTTTATCAACATTATAGGTAGCTGTCCAGCATTTCATGCGATAGATACTGAATTCAAACCACAATGAGGTATGCAACGTCAGGATGCGCAAATATTCAAAAGGTGGTCTTAATTTCACGTGTTGGAGTGTTTGGACTCCAATGGTTTAGAGTTAGTTGATGAAGTGAAATCATTTAGAAGACCACTGAAGACCAACAAGCACTGGAGAGTTGTTTTGTCCAAGTTTGGGGCTCTTCATCAGTATGTGTCAGTGACCTCACTGGAGATTAAATCTAAGACCTCCAAGTCTAAAGGCGAGCCCTCTGACGATTCATCCACAGGGTCAGAATCCATCAGCCCATAAATTCTGACTTCTGTCAGTCGGCGATATATATTGTAAAGACATCACTAGCCGACTTCGTTGGTGCGTATTTTTGTCCTCACAAGAAATTCAGGCAGCTTCATTCTATGGTCAGTCACTAGTAAGCACATCAGATTAATTCAAACAGAACAAACACACTTTAGTTGCGACTACTCAAAGTCATTCAGCGTCATTCTCTACTTAATAATTTTATTTTTAGTTTGATATGTTCTTTGGTTAATTATATTTATATATGAACTTATGGGAATCACATTTTAGTGGAAAAATACCAGACTATATGTAAATGTGCATATAATATGTAGCATTGTTACTCAATATATTCTGTAATTATCATATCTGATATGTAGAAATAACTGAAAAGTTTTTATTGATATGAAATGGTTCATAAGACTGAGATAATACTGTTAGTCTGAAAACAAAGGTTAAATTAACAATGACGTGAATAAATAATGCGGTTCGAATTCGACTCCATTTACATATATTTTAATGCGTGATGATCAAAGTAGTCACAAGTTGTTTTCATCACGCATAGTACAGAGAACGCCACAACAGATATTGCAGCTGTGCAAAAATCGGTAGAACACCTTCAAAATCAGCTAAACGTAACGTGTGATGATATGATCACAGTATTCCTTTATGTACATAATACAAAATCAAATAAAACCTAGTGTCTGAGGAAACTCTAATCGTAATCAACCCTCTCTGCTTTATCTTATCAAGGAGGCAGAAACCAAAAGGAGGTAAATTTGTCCTACAGATTGCTCATATACTCGCAGTCATATTCACACTCTGTAATGTATATAATACTACCATAATATCCTGTGTAGAAAGGCAGTAGATGATATAAAATTCCGTCTTTCTATTCGCTGTTTCAAGTAGGCGTTACGTTTAATACTTCTGTCTGTTTAAAAATAAATGCATTTATTATGTATGAGCAAATGAGAAAGGCGACTTACACAACAACCAAAAATAGTGTCTGACATATCTTGTCTTCTAGATATTTCATATTTTGATGAATGCTGAGGATCTAAAACCCTGATAAATTATTCTTGTAGATGCATAGTATTGGTGATTATGGGAAATAAAAAATGTGAACGTGTAATGAGAGGATATTTTTACTAAATGTATGTCTGAAGGGAAAATGCCTTAAATTTAAATAGACACTTTCGTCATCAGTGAATGTCAATCAAAAGTCTCTTAAAAGACGAAGAAAAAAAGAAAGAAATTACCATTTCCTATCAGTCTGACATTTTGTAAATGCGCATATGCAAAAAAAACGGAAGTTATCCTTCCTATATTATAAAAAAAGAACTGATGTAATTTTACTTGATAAACACTATTGTATTTCACTTTTTAAGCTCCCAAAACATCTTCATTGATGCATCGTTAGTTTATCAGTCAATTTGGTATTATTTAATTCAGGTTTTTCATGATGTCCTACAGTGAAAAGAAATTTGTGCTTCAAATTTAATGATCTTTCTTGCTTCGCAGAATTCATTTTTAAATATCACAAATACATTTTAGAAATTTAATTTATACTGTCAACATAGACCAAGTCAATAAATGGGGAATTTAAATTAACTGAAACAAATTTAATTTCTACTGATCACGAAATTGTTATCTATCTTCCGAGCAGTCTTAAAATTTGTGGAACTTTACGATTAAATAGGAAAATTAAATTAAAGTTATTCGAGTTACTCAATAGATAAAGTGGTCAAATGATGTATAACTATACAATGAGGTAGCTTTTGGTTGAATTTCATTTAAAGGCCAGTGGAACCAATCAAAACATTGCTTTTTCTCCATTCATTTCGTTGCTTGTCAGTTAGGATTTTCATATCAAACAAAGGAAGATTTAATTAGATTGGTCACTAGGCAGTAACTAATGTCAAGCGTCTAGTCCTTGGGTTGGCTCAGACTTTACAATGGCTAGTCATTATAGCGGGTGACTAGCCATTGTGGTGCACACTGAAATGATGTCAGATGGTTTGAGGTAATCGGAGAGAGCATGAGTTCCTCCAAGATTGAAAATACACCTTACTGATGAGTGCCAGCAAGCAAGAAACCTAGGTCCAGAGCTTCCTGTCGATTGCCTCCAATCATCTAAAGGAAGACTTGTTTGTCATCGGTAGCCTATAGTTACTGATACATTTGTAGTATGTATTTCATTTTATCCCTAATGTTTAGTCATTTCAAAAGCACACTTTATCGATTTATTTACACATACTTGTAGTGGCATATGAAATGAATGAACAGTAACGATTTCTACTGACTGTAATCTATTATCATGTTTGCAGTTGCACAACAGTGACATCGACAAACATATTTATAAGTATTTTCAAGGATTTATTTGTAGGGATTTGATTTGTTTTTCAAGTTTGACCTTGGACAAATGCTAGCCGGTGACACTGGCTAGTGGTCACGCTAAAATCTTTGATTGAACACTAGTAACTAGTGTGATGTGTCTAGTCCTATCTTTGGTGCAGACTGAATTCTGTCAGTCAGGTTTGCAATGTGGCCACCATTCTAGGTAGCTCGCCATCACGGTGTACACTGATTTGATGATATTAGATGGTTGAAGGCAATCGGCACCCACGTCACCCACTAGTTACTAGTTTCCAATCAAAGTATCCAATACAGTCCTACAGAAGGTCAATCGCGAGCCCGAATGGCTCAGTGGTAACGTCTCTGACTGCAGGCGTCACTGGGTTACGCGGGTTCAAATCTCAGAATGGAGATGAGTTCCTTCAAGATTGCAGATACGCCTTGCTGACGACTGCCAACTAGCACGAAACCTAGGTTCAAAACTTCCTACCGATTGCCTCCAACCATCTAATATCATCAAAATCACGAATTGGTAGAAGTTAGAATTCATAGGCCATTAATAAGTATCACAGATGGTCTTATTAGCAAAGCAATAATTTCAAAGTTATAGAAAGACTTAACTGATTTAAGATTTAAAATTTATTCTTACAAACTACATATGAATTCTGACTAGCCTACATTTACGCTGGGCTAAAACATCTGAATGAAATAAGTACATGCAATCTGTTGCGTGCTACTTCTCCTTATAGCTTCCTAAGAAAAGAAATTAGAAACTAAGTGTGTGAAATACAGAAACAATTTTAAACCCGTTGTAACAAGCATCTTTTTCGTAAAAACCATTTATCAGATTTCCACTTAACTATTGTAATTATTTTCATCCTTACAGATATAGTACAGTTATTAATCTACTATGGTGCTGATGTAAATTTATCTGGACCAGATGGTAGAACTGCTCTGCGTGCTGCTGCATGGGCTGGAAATGTTGGCACTGTGAAATGTTTACTTAACGCTGGTGCTGATGTTAACAAATCAGATTCTGAGAAACGTACTGCATTGATTGCTGCAGCTTACATGGGCCATAAAGATGTTCTGGAAGTTCTACTTGAAGCAGGTTAGTTACAAATCACCACTGTAAATATTTTGTTTCGTAGTTTTTATGCTGGGAGTTGTTTAGATCAGCTGAGGTTTAAATACAGTGACTGGATCATTTTTGCTTTAAACTAGACATCTGTAAGTGGTATTTTATGAGTTAGATCACGAAATGAAAGCATTTGAAGAAAACTTCGAAGTACTTGACAGCTGACTCATCCTAGTTCGGGAGTCTTCCGTGGTGTGGTTCCATGATTCCACTGGGGTTTGAACCCGAGGACCTTCAGGTCACTAGGCAAGTAATTTACCATTCAACCACTGGGAAGGAATCCAACAGCTCATGAATTTTAACATCTACGATTTTTCCAAGTGATTGTATCTATTCATAAATATAAATGTCCTGTGCATGACATGGATGAATTTGTGAGTTTCTTACCTTGTCTAAACTTCCGGAAGATAATCTGAAGAACTTAAAAGTCTACTTTCAAATTGTTGACTAAGGAAACTATCCAACCAGTCCGCAACATTTAAATAGGACAAGGTATATTTATTCAAGTGTTTATATAATCTAGGCAACGGTGAGTGTATAGATAGAATGTGCATATTAGTAGGGGTAGAGGGGAAAATAACTATTGTCAAATAGAGATTAGATAATATAATAATGATAATGATAAATTGGGAAAACGAAGAATAAAATGTACAACTACAGCACAGAATGATATTGATAATACAGTTAGCACTACAATTAAAATAAAATAAAAACATAATAAGATAATATATACAGTCATCCGGTGTCGCCGGGAGAGATAACTATTTTAGGTTTGGGGGTGACGGTAAAGGGAGGAGGAGGGATTGAACAAACTTTTCCTGAACACAGAGATTGCGTTGAGAAATCTTTATGGCAACTGCCTCAGATAAGCGTAGCAACCGAAGACGTACCAACGTAGGGAGTTGAGGTGGTTTGTTTTCCTTCACGTTCCCCAGTGGAACAAAGGGATTCAAGCTAGTGGTTTGAAGTTTCTGTAGCAGTGTTTATTTTTACAGGATGGAGTTGCTAGCCTCATGCCCAACCTTCCCTCTTCACCAGCCAGCATTATTTCTGGCTTAGCGAGGTAAAGGAGTGCGCCGGCCGGGGATCGAACTTCGGACCATGTGCATGGTCGGCGAGCGTCCTATGCCACCGACGCACCGGTGGTACCCTGCGTAAAATTGTAAAAGCTGGATTTCCGCCAATCTTGTGCTCCACTTAAAATGTTTGAAAAATTATTACTAATAACATGACGATTTTTATTTTCTGTCACGAATGGTCTTTTTTTGTTGTTGTTAAAAGTAGGCACTTAACATGAGTGGGCATTTTTATTTATTTAGGGGAATAAAAATAAGACAAAATACAAAAGAAATATCTTTGTCTAACAAAAATTCCCACTGTATGGTGAACACTTGATTGTTTTAGCTGTAAAATTTTAAAAACTACCTTGCGATTTGTTTTTGCAATAAAGTAAAAAGGTTCTGCTCTTCAGTTACTTCGATTTACTGCTTTTGCAAGAAAGTTATTTAATAATATGAACTGAAATTGATACTTTGTAAGTTGTAATAATGTTTAGATAGAGAATATTCATCTTCATAGAATGATTTTATATTACTATTATTAGTATTCCCTTGGGTTCCAAGTGGAAAATAGGGCTTCAACAACACATCTCCACTTTGTCCTATCTTCTGCCGCCCTCTTCAACTTGGACCACAATTGATCACCATCTCTCATCTCCTCCTCACATTATCTCCTCCATGTCACATTCGCACTGACGACCAACTCGTCGCTTCCCATTTGGATTCCACTCAGGTAATGGCCTGGCGCGTGATGTCATTCGACGGCCTCCTCAATGTATGCCTGATCCATCTCCACTTTCTCCTACATATTTGTTGAGCGATTGGCTCTTGGTTTGTTTGTTCCCAGCCAGAGTGTTTTGTTACTAAATCTTTCTGCCCGGCTGGTCATTCGATCTTCAGTATGGAGCCAGCGAAGGCAGCTGTTGATGAGAGTCTGCAACAGGCTGTTGGAAATGCACTTTGTGATGCGCAGTGCAAGTTTCTGACCCATAAAGAAGAAATAACCGTCTTCACATTTGTGTTGGAAATCCGAATCTTGTTCCTTATGCTGAGGCTGAGTGCAGAAGATTTCCAAACTGGTTTCAGGTTGATCAAGACGTATCTTGACTTTCCGATTCTGGCTGCCTTTGACATCTTCATCCGTTCCGACTGCCTGTGGTTGAAACGGTGCTTCCTAGCTAAGGGAAGGCGGGAAGTAACCTCTGTTAAATCTCTCCCGTTGATGGTGATTGCTTCTGGTTGTTGTAATTGTTGTTGATGTTCTTTGGTTATCTTCTTCACATACAATGATTTTGCTTCTCTAAAATTCATTAAAAAGTCGTCTTGACTATCAGTTTTGTTAAGAGAAAAGAAGACAGACAGTGCATAAGAGCTGCTTATACAAGTCTTAAGATGTACTAAGGACAAACAAAACTATTTAATTAATTATTATTTTTATTACAATATACACGATAAATTATGGTCAAAGTAAATCAATACTATTCAGTGAACTGCATTTGTTAATGAATAGGCATTCAAATATGCACGTAATGAACGAATACTATATGAACTAATTATAGGACATGAATGTGCAGAATTTTTGATGAATATTAATGTTATGTCTGTGAAATTTGTCGGCTATATCAACTTACGCAAAACGTTAGACATGGTAATCTATCATGTTTATTTATGTATCATATTACTTGAAGATTTTGAGAAAATTGACCAGAATGTGACTAAAATTTGTCTTGTACAATTTGCATCCGTCACTTTTAGTATTTTTAAGATGCATTCCTAAGAGGTTGTAAATCACTTGTTACAGATCTTAAGGAGTGAATATTTTTGATTCCTTTGCGTTCTGAGTGTAGCATAAGTCTTGAGATTTTTTTAAAATTCCAGTAGCTTTGATGTTAATTTTTCTGCAGTGTCGGATTACTAGCCACACACCCAATCTTACCCGTTTTATGGACTTACTACCGGTTAGGAGAGGTTTAGCTGTGAGCTGACAGGAGATAAAACCCTGACCTTCCGTGAGGCTGAAGAGCATTCTACCACCAGACCACCAACGCATGTTGGTTCCCATATATTATCAGATTTATGTTAAAATAAATGGCAAATAACACTGTCTAGTGAAAATATTGGAAATGTTACTCACTCAAAAGCTAGAGCCACACCCATTCTATGTGAGTAGGACTACCTGTCTGCCTAAACTTTAGTAGGTAGATGGGGTGAGATTCAATTCCATGAATACTCACTGGCTGGAAATTGATCACGTGGACCAATAGACCACAGTCAGTTAGGCTTTGACGTCAAAACTAATGCAGAAAATCAACCATTCTATTAACTTAAGTGATGTTAATAAAAGTTAATTATAACTATACAGAGATGCCTACTTTCTATGATACCTCTAATCTTAGTTATTCTTACACTTAATAATACTTTTATTTCAAAGGTCTCATGAAGTAATTTTTGATAGCACTTTATGCATACTTTTTTGAGTCGTGTCAGTTCATTATTATACTGTTTGTCTCTCGAGTTGTTCCTATTCCAGGTAGTCAGATGACGGAATGCAATAAGGCTATAAAATTAATGAATCATTTGACTCCTTTTATGAGGAAATTTAATTTCTCTAATCCACAGGAAAATACAAATCGATTAGTAAAAAGCAGTATTCTTTTCTCCAAACAATGGAAATAGATGGTGCATTATTTCATGACATTATTTATTCGTTGCGTAAAGAGCCGACAGTTATTTTTTCTAGTATCTACAAATAAATCAGTATTGAGTTTCGTATATAGCCTAGCAAATTCTTGTGAGACAGTATCGTATTCCTTGACGTTTAAGATGCAGAGGAAATGACTGACTTTAGGTTAATTCCGATCACTTCAGTCGATTCAAATAATAAGAGGTGCTTTTGGTTTGGTGGGCATTATTCATAAGCATTAACAGTACAATTCTTAATTATCTTATAGATACTTAATACATCCATCACTGTGCTCCGTATTTTTTTAATGATTTTATGGTTTTTAACCATTCATAATAATCAGTACTATATACTATAAACACATCGACTTTACGTGATTCGTCTGAAGTAGTTTTAGACAAGACAAGATGGAGCAGAACTTTCCATGAACTTTGTCAAATATCTAACATGATATAAACAATTTGAATTTGATTAGAATAGAATAATGTGGGGCAGCTGATCCTTCGAAATTTAGTTTCTGAACACTATGCACATGTTAGACTACAAAATGATTATTCTGTTTGATACATTTGATAGTAAACAAATGAATTAGCTACAAGTCTTAATGATTAAAGTGTTTCTGAGGCTGAAATCCAGGAAACTACACTAGAAATATTGCCAACTAATTCCAGTGCTTCCTAACTATATCGTCAAATTTCAAATGTGTCAACACGGGGTTGTTCGGTTAGGACTTAAATTCAGTAATGATAATGCCAAAATTTTAGATAGGATGATACGTTAGCTAAGGTAACAAATATTCTTGGGTAGCAGAATTTAGAACTGATGGGCTGTTAGATTCTTTCCTATTGGTTGAATGGTAAAATACTTGCCTAGTGACATGAAGGCCCTAGACTCGATCCTTGCTGGAATAATAGATGCATCCTGCTAAGGAATCCCAAAGTAAAACAAAACAGTTGTCCAGTACTCCTTGGTTTTAAGTGGTTCTGTTAGGGATACCAGTTTGTGATGAAATTCCTTTAATAAACACCGTTATTAGACTTTGATGATAGTCTGCATAATGTTAAGTTCATCTTAGGAGTAAGACGTAATTTTCACAATGACCAATGGTCACTAGGACCTTCAGTTTATCAAGCTGTATTTTAGCAGGTGTTATTTCAAACATTTCTGGGATTATGTAGTGATATGAGTGGAAGACTTAATTAAGTAATCAGCTTATTCTGATGAAACCCTAC